AAAGCTGTGTGGGTCGCTGGAGTGTCTGTCGCATTGAACATTATGTCGCAGCAGTTGTGTATGGTGTTGCTATGATGACCAGCTACATTGAGGGGTACTATCTCTGGGTACTATGGAAAACGGAGGACGGCCAAACCGAGTTTAGTCGAGGCCAATTGAGCTGGTACTGGTAATGGAAAAACGGCAAAAGAAGTGTACGTTGTCATCGTGACGTCACCCATTGGACAGCCATTTTGAAACATGAGTTTGGCAGTTAGGCCACTGCCATGTTAATTTTTTGCAATCAGCAGCACCGGACGTGACAATATTTGGAAGAGGCGGAGGCACTAGAAAGCTTGGTTCGCTAGGTGCAGCTGTAATTCACCATACTGTGATTTTAACTGGAATGCTAATGTTAGTTTGCTAAAAAACAGGCATAAAATATATGTACTTAACGGAAAAATGAACAGCCGACTCCTAATAAACTTTTTCAACAGCGCTGGTTAAATTTACACAGTGCAGTGGATACCAGTCCTTGCTGGAGGTTGTCGCTTGGTTACACCTTTGTCACCTCCTTCGGCGTCTAGCACCAACGCACCATAGTTCAATGCACTTGGGGAAGCCCTTTAGCGCCATTGTTTACCGCTAAAAGTAGGCCTAGCATAAATACAGAAAACTCAAAATGAGGAGGTGGTTGGAGTGGATGGGTCGGTCAGTCCTACATGTGTAGAAATGATACTAAAGGGACACAGGGCGTTAAAAAGTGTCGCCAAGAGGTCTTGACCAAGCATACAATTGTGATGCCCAGGGCTGAGAACAGGTTGGTTTATTAGAACAGGATTCAAGGTGAACAGACAGGTGAAGAGTCAAACTCCTCTCCCACCAGAATCTGACTCCTGATGTCCATGGTGCAATATGGTGATACTATAGCAGCTGGTGAAGAACACAGATAAGATGATATTTTACTGCTCTGAGATCTGCTGGTTCTTCATTGTATCTTTGCAGTTACCACTGTGAGGAATCTTGGAGTTATCTTTGATCAGGACATGTCGTTTAAGTCCCACATTAAGCAAATTTCAAGGACCGCCTTTTTTCACCTACGTAATATTGCGAAAATCAGGAACATCCTGTCTAAAAATGATGCAGAAAAACTAGTCCATGCATTTGTTACTTCTAGGCTGGATTACTGCAATTCCTTATTATCAGGCTGCTCGAAAAAGTCCATTAAGACTCTTCAGCTGATCCAGAATGCTGCAGCACGTGTTCTGACAGGAACCAGGAAAAGAGATCACATTTCTCCTGTTTTAGCTTCTTTGCATTGGCTTCCAGTAAAATCCAGAATAGAATTTAAAATCATTCTTCTTACCTACAAAGCTCTTAATGGTCAGGCACCATCTTATCTTAAAGAGCTCATAGTACCTTACTACCCCACCAGAGCACTGCGCTCCCAGAATGCAGGGTTACTTGTGGTTCCTAGAGTCTCCAAAAGTAGACTAGGAGCCAGAGCGTTCAGCTATCAAGCTCCTCTCCTGTGGAACCAGGTTCCAGTTTGGGTTCAGGAGGCAGACACCATCTCCACATTTAAGAGTAGGCTTAAGACTTTCCTCTTTGATAAAGCTTATAGTTAGGGCTGGCTCAGGTAGTCCTGAACCATCCCTTAGTTATGCTGCTATAGGCCTAGACTGCCGGGGGATTTCCCATGATGCACTGAGCTCCTCTCTCCTCTACTTTCTCTCCCTCTGTATGCAACCTTATCCCATTATTGCATGTTACTAACACAACTTCTCCCCTTTCTGGTAGTCTTGTGCTTTCTCGTCCCTCTCCTCTCTCCTCCTATCACTTCCTGCAGGTTTTCTGGCTCTGGAGCTGTGGAGTCTGGATCTGTGGCTGCGGGTCGCCTGCTGCCCCCGTGTTCCTGCTCGACACCCTCTACTGCAGCGACTGTTGTCGCTGGTCTTATTGTTATTATAATCATTAACATTACGATGGTTACCATTAACACTATTATAAATATCTGTACCATTTTTCATTTAGTTTATAGCAACATTACCTTCGCTGTCTGTACCTCTGTGTGTATATTGTGTAGGCTGCCTCCCTCCCCTCTCTCTCTCCTTACATCCCTCTCTCTCTCTCTCTCTCTCTCTCTCTCTTTCTCTCTCTCTCTCTCTTTCACTCTCTTCTCTCTCTCTTTCTCTCTCTCTCTCTCTCTCACCCCAACCGGTCGAGGCAGATGGCCGCCCACCCTGAGCCATGGTTCTGCTCGAGGTTTCTGCCTCTTAAAAGGAAGTTTTTCCTTGCCTCTGTCGCCTAGTGCTTGCTCTTGGTGGGAACTGTTGGGCTTCTGTAAATATCATCACAGAGTACGGTCTAGACCTGCTCTTTTATGAAAAGCGCTGTGAGATAACTGTTGTTGTGATTTGGCGCTATATAAATAAAATTGAATTGAATTGAATTGAATTATTTTTTTCCAGATATGAAGAGGAAGTGTTTTAGTAAAAATGCGAACAGCAGCAGGGCTCTGGTGGTTTTAACCTCTAAAGATGACCAGATAAACATCAGAAACACACAAGGCACAAGACAGGAACAGACATTTGATACTTTTGTGGGACTTAAAACAAAGAGGTTTTTATCAATTTCTGTTAAACAATGAAAACGATGTTAAGGTTTGGGTTCACTGAGACTGGTTTCAATAAAGATTTTTAACACTGATGAGCATCCTGAACTGTCTTTTACTGTCGGGACATAGAGCATCAAGCCGCCACAAAATGTAGCAGCAGGTCTGTTCATGGTGTTTTCAAAGGAAATGTTTGAACATAAATACATATTTTGTGCTCCACAGTTCCACTAGAGAGCATAGACAGTGGTGACTGAATCATTTCTTCACCTGTGGTTTGGAGGTTTTTCACACTGTATGCTGACTGCAGACACGACTAGTTTGACATTTAAGATGTGTGAAATGTATTTACATTTATATTAGGTCAGAGTACGTGGTCATGTGCTTTCAGAACACCTGAACATATGTAGTTATTACATCGCTGTGCATTATCAGGTCACTTTGGGTCCGTTTCGATCTGTATTTAGACACATTTGAGTCCCCAGTGAGAACAGAGCTGTTTAACACAACAGAGGGAAGGTTTACTACTAGATGTGGACAAGAGGAGGGAGGCTCTAGAATTAAGTGGTAAAAATTTCTTTATTTGCAGATTATAGATATAGATATCAGATGTAATAAAGAAGAGACTGCTACGGACTCCATCAAGGGTGAAAACTCTAACTGAAAGTGAATTAAAATGAGTTCTTCTGTACACAGAGACATGAAACTGAACTCAAGCTGCTGTAGCTTCAAAAACAAACAGTAAACCTTAAAAGCAGGTCTGAATTATTCAGCTGGAAGACAATTTAAGGAAGTTAACAAGAGTTAAATGCTTGTTCCTGTTAAATGAAGTTGAAATCCAGCTGCTGTGATCTGAACTGGCTGCAGAAAATAAAGATTTTCACAACTGATGCAGGAAAAGACATTTTATGAAACTCACAGTGGGCTTCCTGATATGAGATGAAATCAAGACTTGAATATTGTTGTTCAAAGTCAAACAGAAAGAAACAGCTGAGCACAAAACACGCAAACATTTCTCACACTGATAAATAAAAACAAAAACAATCAGTAATAAAAACAACAAATGATCTAATAAGATTTTTGTCATCTAAAGGCTTCAACTACTCTTGTAAACGTGCTGAGCTGATGTTGATTTGGAAGTTGTTGATCAGTGGAGTCTGATAGAGGCAGAAGGGTCTCCAAAGTTCTCATATTTCACCACACCATCATCTTCATCATTATTCACCTGTGAAACACAAACAAACCCTCACTCTGACACACTTTTACATCACTGACTCATCACAAGGAGATAAGAAATAATCTGACAGCACCTGAACGTACAACCAGTTACTGTTACATGTTTCTGCCGCTGACAGAGGAAGTGTTTTTGTGGTAACGAAGGACATGTAAATGAAAAAGAAAAAACTATGTAGGTACTGTATATTAGCCCAAACATACCCCAAATCCAAAATGTTCCTCCCACTTTACTGTTGATGTTTTGAAACTGAACACAGTTCACAGTTGAGTCAGCAGACCCTGAACGCACCATTAGTCATCCATCTGTGTTTTTGTCCCTAAAAAGAAAAGAGAAAGAGTCGACTTTAGTTTCCACAGTGAAAATCCAGGTTTATCAAAACTTCCTGTTTCTGAGTTTCATCTGTGAATGTTCTCACCTTTAGTTCTTGTCCAGATGTTGACTGCCACAACAATTATTATGAGTGCTGCTAAACCCACAGACACAATGATGAACCTCAACCAGTCTGAAAAAAATTAAACCATTAAACATATTTCAGCTGCAGTTTTCTGATCTGTAGTGAAGCACAAATAAATTATTAGTAAATCATGTGTCACTTAGAAATATTTAACTAACAACTTCTTTTCCATGTGTAACTTTTCTTCTAAACCAAAGTCAACACACTTCAAACACACACAGAGAACAGAGATTCTGGAGAAAGATTAGTTACGGCCTTGTAGTTTGGTGTGTCAAAATTTTGTGCTGTTTTCAGGTGTTCTTGTTGTTTGTGCGTCACCTGCATGAATGAAATAACACAACCCAAGAAACTGTTCAGTTAGAAAATACCTCATGTTTACCATCTGCTGTCTCTAAATAAGAATGATGTCATCTTAAAAAGTCATTAAATAAACAAATGTTTTGGTGGAACAGCTCAGCATATTCTCACCTGTTTTCTCACCTGAGGACTGAGGGCTGAAGGTGAACAGCTGCACTTTTCCAGAGTAACCATCTGTCACTTCACACTTCAAGTTAGACTTTGATTTGTAAATAAAATGAGAATCCAGGAAAGACACAGTGGCGTAGCAGCCAGACTGTGATGTCTTCATGTCTTTGTTATCTTTGTCCTCATCTTTACCCTCATACAGCCACTTCACTGTGTGTTTACAGCTGTTCATGTATCAACACAGAGCAGTTTAACGTCACCTCATCAGCGTCCTTACGTTTAGTCACTGGTGAAGATGGAGATATTGTGAGAGAAAGACAACAAGAGTAAAGTTAACTTCATCACTGTGATCATGATTATTGTAATGTTTCAGTATATTGTTCAAAGAAGACAGTGTGAGCTGAAAACATTATGATGTAAAAACCCACTGGTAATAGAGGGTATGCGCGTGAAGTCACAGCACGCGGGAAGTCGTTGCAGCGGCAGCTTTAATCAGCGACAACACAAACAACACATCTCAAATGGGGAAGAGCTGTTGTGCAGTTGACTGTACAAATAGATTTAACAAGAAGTCAGAGCTGTCTTTCTACAGACTGCCCAAATCAAAAGAAAAGAGAAGCAAATGGATCGCTGCAATTCACAGAAACAACTGGAATCCAGGCAAAGAAACGTGGATTTGCAGTTTTCACTTTGTGTCAGGTATGTAGAGTCTTTGGGTAAAATCGTACCTTAAGTAATACTGTATTGACTAACGTAACTCATCAATTAAACTTTTAACGTTAATATCTTACATTTATACTCTGTAGCTGTAAAGTGTCAGCATTTACACATCTATAAAGGCAGGCGCGAGAAGACATTTTCGCTTCTGGGTGCTGTACAGTGGACATGCACGCGTGACACGACTGTGTGAGGGCACGCGCTTACACACTTTCCTTTAACAGGGAGTGGTTACACGTATGGTCGTATGAGGTCACCGAGGTCCGGACCTCTGTAATTATAAAGTAGATTGATTATAACATTATCGGGGTGGGTGAAACAGGGTCAAGCGTCTCCCCATTAAGAGAGACGCTGTGCGCATTTACGCACGCCGACAGGATCAGTCAGAATCTAACGTTAATTAATATTTTGTGTTCTTCTACACATACAAAAGGTCTCTCACACAGTCCAGGTTCATACAGTGAAACTGTTTGAGTTTTGTATGTCCTGTCAAGTTTATAACTACAGTTTGGCTGCATAAATGTCATACGTTATTTGCTGTGAAATTTCTGCGCCCATGGAGACGTTTATTCAGATATTATAAGAGCCAATCTGCATCACACCAATGTAGCTCCTATAATCGTGACAAAACAGTGCAAACAGCTGCTGTATTTTCACTGTTGTCATATGGCCTAGTAACACTGGTGCCCACTATGTAGTCGGCACATGTAATTTGCACACTGTGTTCTTCCCTGTCAATAGGGGGTGCTGCATCACCCTCCGCACCCCCACTTCCTGCGCATATAGGTGGCTGAATCACACTTCTAGGCTACCTTTGTAATCGCGCTTTGTGAAATACTCCCCCCAGTTATATGAGAAATGTTGAACCTTAAGTAATGATGACATTTTCTGTTTGTTTCAGGAAAAAAGAGCGATGATCCCCTGCACCCTGACTATGTGCCGAGTTTATTCAGTTTCACCTCAGCCACTGATCGAACTAGGGCTGCCAACAACCTGGAAAGATATCTTCGATCTCAAGAAGTTTTTGAAAAAAGAATTGTCAACAAAAGTAGAGAGCTAGCGGCCACAGCTCTTCTGAACTTGCACCAAAGTCCTGCATCAGAGCAGGAGGTACAAGCAGATCAAACAGAGGTACAGACTGTGGAAGTCCAAGGCACTGAGGTCCAGACAGAGGAGACACACAATGACATTGCTTCATTACATGAACAGATTAAATCTTTAAACAAGGAGTGTCAGTCACTGAGAGACAAAGTTCACAAACTAGAAAGCGAATTGAAACACCGCACCCTTGATGCTTCACAATTTAATGACCGCAAAATGAAATTTTTCACAGGACTGCCAAATTTACAGACTTTCATGTTAGTGTTTAGTTATGTGTCTTCAGTTTTTCCTGCTACTGCAAAACAGTCCCTCAAACCTACTCAGGAACTACTTCTTACACTGATGAAGCTGCGCCTCAATCCGTCGGAGGAATTATTAGGCTACCTCTTTGGGATTCATCAGTCAACAGTATCTAGAATCTTTCACCGTTGGATACAGGTAATGGCAAGCAGGCTTCATCCCCTGATATTGTGGCCGCAAAGAGAAGACTTAAGAAGCAGCTTACCGATGTGTTTTCGGACATTTTTTAAGAACTGTGTGAGCATAATTGACTGCTTTGAGTTGTTCATAGAGCGTCCTTCAGATTTAAAAGCTCAAGCTCAAACATGGAGCAACTACAAACAACACAACACTATTAAATTTCTTATTTCAGTCACACCACAAGGAAGCATCTCCTTTGTGTCAAAGGCCTGGGGTGGACGTGTTACAGACAAACACCTTATCGAGCACAGCGGGTTCCTTGACAAGCTCCTCCCTGGGGACTAGACAAGATTGTATTAACATGTTGTGCTCTGTGTAATGTGTGTGAAACCATTGTGCCTTCAGATTAAATTGAACATCATGCACAGGGCTGGGTAATATGGCAAAACATGTTATTAAATTTAAAAAGTACAATGAAGTTCATATGAAAGCTCATATAAATTGTTATTCACATAACCCTTGATATTTTGACTGTGATACTGACAATCTCTTAAAAATGAGAGACTTTTGACAGTGGGAAAATGTGTTTTGTAAATATTTATTCTATATAAAGTATTTTCACAGTAAGGTTTAGTAGTTTCACATTTTTTGGTATTTTCATATTTTTACAAAAGGAGACAAAAAAATGCTGCGCAAACATCCCTGTAATGCTCTGATAAAGACTGTTTGACTAAAATGTTTGTAAAAGCAAGCCTGAAAGTACTATACTACCTGTACTACCTGATTTTTGTGTCCTTTTACATGAATAAAAATAATTACACCATAAATTGGTGCAGAAACTTTCACCATAATACAGGAAATGAAGTGTTTAATGATCAAAATGTCCTGGGGGAGGTCCCCCCAGACTCCCCGCTCATATTGAGGATATCTTTAAAACACTACAGATCTTTTTGTCTCGTTCTTGTGAACCTAATATCGCATATCATGATGAAGTGTCTCTTCACACCCCTAATCTGAGCCCCTCTGTCCCCACCACTTTTTAACACAAAGTGACGCCCTTGCCCGAGATGAAGGCCTAATCAGCAGCAGTTCTACAGATGTTGCACCAAGTTTCAGTACTGCATTTCGTGTAAACCATTTTCCCAGCAGTTCTGGCAACACACCATATTTGAAAAATGTTGTTGCCTTCATAACATGTCTTTCAAAATTGGAATCTGGAGTTATTCTCTCAATAAATAATTCCAAAGGTGTCCACACACAAAAGTCGCAGTATGGGGATTTTGTAACATGAATCTGGCACTGTACTTGAAAGTAATAGTTGTGTTGTCTGTTAAGTTCCAGTGTCACATCGGAGGAACGGGATGCAACCAAGCAGAAGTCTTTTTCTTTCGACAGTTCTAACAGTGTCTTGTCTTTTGCCAAGTAGGGGCATTTGATTTCCAAGCACCCAGAGCCACAGCAGTCATAAGACACCTTCCCGTCAGGTGATGCACCAAGATGAGGGTATTGCGTAGAAATGTAGAGCCCAGTGGGGGTTACATTAAAATAATAATCACTTGTTTTACTCCCAGTTTTGCTGTTTCCACTGATTAACGCAGGCATGTTACAGGTGTTTTGCCACTCAGTCCATCTGGTGGGGGAGTGTTCAGGAGGGGAAGTTACGTCAACGCATACCCTCTATAACAGACAGTCACTTCAGCAGCTTCACCTTGTTTTTGACCTGATTTGTACTGTTGACAGTAATAACAACCAACATCCTTGACTGTGACCTTCTTTATGACCAGAGAACAGTTCTCTGTAACACTCAGTCTGTCTGATTAGCTTTGGTGTTTTCACCAATCTGTCCATGTTCAATCAACCCATACAGTATTTTCACATTTTTTCTGACCGTCTATCACAATTGATACAGTGAAGGAGAGGGGAAGTTTTTCAGCTGCTGCTGTTGAGAAAATGATGAAAAATAAAGAGAAATGAGAAAATGTCTGTTATGTTCATAGTTAGTGACAATTATTTCTTTATCCTTAGTTTCCAAGAGTTCACTAAACTCACCACATTAGAAACAACAGATTTGGTTTTCTTAGTTAAATCAAATGTAGCTACTAAAGAATCTTTAATAATATTGATCAAGTTATTTTTTACAATGTGCCTTCCATTTATATATGTGATATATGTATTCTTACCTGTAAACTGAAGCACCGCTGTAAGAAATAAAGAAATCCATTTGAACTCAACCATCATGATTCTCTGAGTCTCTCTTTCTTCTGTCTCTGCTGGTTCCTCATTGTGTCTTTGAAGTTATTTTTATCAGAGGAGGGAAGTGTTTTGGTGAGAATGTGGTTAACAACAGCAGCAGAGCTCTGGAGGTGTTACCCTCTAATGATGACCAGATACACACTCTCACAGGAACAGACAGTTGACACTTTAATGGGACCCAAGACAAAGAGGTTTTTATCAAATGTTGTTGAAAACAACGTTAAGGTTTGGGGTCACTGAGACTAGTTTTAACAAAGAGTTAAACCACTGATAAGGTACGGCAGGTACAAAGAGCATCAAGCCTCTACAATAGCAGCAGGTGTGTTCATGGTTTTCAAAGGAAAAGGTTTGACATAAATAAACATTTTGATCTCCACAACTAGAGAGCATAGACAGTGGTGATTGAGTTTGTTTGACAAGTCTTCACCTGTGGTTTGGAGGTTTTTCATGCTGTATGCAGACTGCAGAAACGACTAGTTTGACATTTAAGATGTGTGAAATGTATTTACATTCATATTAGGTCAGAGTAGGTGGTCATGTGCATCCAGAACAAGTATGTAGTTATTACATATGTGCGTTATCAGGTCACTTTAGATACTGTAGCAGCTGGAGAAGAACACAAAAAAGATGGTATTTACTGGTCTGCTGGTTCCTCTTTGTATCGTTGAGGTTAATTTTATCAGAGATCTGCAGGGGAAGTGTTTTGGTGAGAATGTGATTAACAACAGCAGCAGAGCTCTGGAGGTGTTACTCTCTACTGATGACTAGATAAACATCAGAAACACACGAGGCTCACAGGAATAGATGGTCGATACTTTAGTGGGACTTAAGACAAAGAGTTTTATCAATTTCTGTTGAAAACGATGTTGAGGTTTGGGTTCACTGAGACTAGTTTTAACAAAGAGTTTAAACACAGATGGGCGTCCTGATCTGTAACTGTTGGCACGAAGAGCATCAAGCCTCCACAAAATGGAGCAGCATGTCTGTTCATGGTGTTTTCAAAAGAAATGTTTTAACAGAAGTGCTCCACTGCTAACCTAGACAGCATAGACAGTGGTGTCTGAGTTTGTTTAGCATCAATTCTTCACCTGTGGTTTGGAGGTTTTCACGCTGTATGCTGACTGCAGACACGACTATTTTGACATTTGAGATGTGTGAAATGTATTTACATTCATATTAATGTCGGCAGACCTCTTTCTCTTCTGGCTGACATGAGCTGGTATGAAGTTCACACTGACCTGAAGTATCTGGGATTAACACATGAAAATTTAACCCTTGTGAGTTTCCTCTCATTCAACTGTTTAATTCAACTCTCAAAAGTGACTCAGTCAAGATGAGCGTTGTCCCACTTCCTCTTAGTTTGCTTCAATTACTTTCATACCAGAACAAAGAAATGACCTGAACAGAGATATAGACGTTAAAATGACTGCATATCAAACAATAACTGGAGAAACAGAAATCAGTAAATAATAAAATATAAAACAATAAATCCTGAAAATGATCATAAATGAAGTCTAATAAAAACATTGATCAATGTAAATAAACTGTAATGATATGAGCTGTAACTACATTGTGACCTCTTATTTGTTTGGTTTGTTGACGGTGGCGTAGAGGTCGCTGGGATCAGCTGAGGCTCCAGCAGAAGAAGAGGAAGCTTTCACGGTGCTGTAGGTCACTGCATCATCTTCATCATCACCATCTTTACCCAGAACCTGGAAAAGAGACAAACAGCACAACACAGAAATTACACAACATTAAATGAGACAGAATAATGCAGGTAAATGCAACATTATGATATCCAGCAGCACATAAACACAAAGCTCAATAATGAAACAGCAAACAACATTACAAAGAGCAACACAACACAAAACAGTGAGTCAGTCCAGTCAGTTCAGTTTGAAGATGTGCTGTTAAAGATCTGTTTGTACATGTACTGAGCTCCTCTGGCCGCTCGTTGGTGAGATATTTTGTTCTGGACCAAAGTGTTGGACACACTGACATCACAATCCTTACATGTAGACCTGGGCTTTAAAGGGAAAATAAAGAATCTGTCCTGTTTTTATACCTGAGAAGTGTTTTCATTCACTGCCATCATCACTAGAACCAATCAGACAGCTTACCCGGCCTTTACTGTTGGTCTTCCTGGTGTAGCTGATGGAGGCGTAGGAAACACCATCTTCAGGATCAGCCTACACAGAGAAGACAACATAATGGCTGCTCAGTAACATGTGGACTTGATTGTGTTCTGGTCTGTTCTGGTGTCGTCCAGCTGCATCATCAGACTCCCCACTTCTTCTCTTGCAGAAAGAACTTAGATTCAAGAGTCACTGTGTGTCTCATAGAGCTACATTTTGAACAACAAATCTAAAAACAGTGAGTGTAACTTTGTCCTGGGTGTAGTGTGAGATCTCACCGTGTCCTGACTGCTTTCTGGACTCACTGCAGGGTTTAAGCTCCGTCCCTGAAAACAACAAACAAACAGAGTCTACTTCCATGTGGTCAAACACTGGCTCTGTGAAGGCTGTTTAGATTTGGATGAATCTGTCAGAGAGCAGCTGATTCAGCTCTGTCATAACTGTAGAAACATTTGATTACTCAGCCGTAAAACTCACAGTGTTTTCATCCATCAGGGTTTTTTTTCCTGAAGAGACAAAAGAGAGTCGACTTTAGCTTCAACAATACAAATCCAGGTTCATAAAAACACCTTCTTTAAAAATGTTTAATCTGTGGAAGCTCTCACCTGTAGTTCTTTTCCACATGATGAGAGCAACAATAGTTATTAAGAGTGCTGCAACTCCCACAAACACACTGATGACCACCAACCACCACCAACCTGGAAAGCTTTTTTCTGGTTATAATTCTGTAACATCTTATTTCTTATTTGTGATTTTGTGTTGTGTGAATACATCTGACTGAGAATGACTGAAAAAAATAATATCTCCATACAGGAGAGAGAGGAAGACGGATTGAAATTATAAAATAAACTTTATTTACAATTAGCCTACATTACAGTCTTTATATGCTCCACTACATCCGGTCTCATCTCGTATTACGTGACCGGTCTTTCTCATGTGGTAGCGTTACACATTCACTAGAGGTCGCTGCCATAGTAAACATTAATATGGGCCGTATTGGCAGAATGTTTTTTATGAACTATGTGGTTATATTTCTGTTGAGGACAGGCTTGATCATAATTATTGTAATGTTTCAGTATATTGTTCTAACAAGACAATTTGAGCTGAAAACATTATGATGTAAATACTCTGTTAATAACAGACAGATGAAACACAGAGTCTTCACCTTGTTGTTGTCCTGATTTGTTGAACTGTCTGCAGGTGTAACGACCAACATCCTCAACTGTGACCTTCTTTATAACCAGAGAACAGTTCTCTGTAACACTCAGTCTGTCTGATTTAGATTTGGTGTTTTTAATCTGCCCAAGTTCAAACAGCGCAACTGCTGCTGTGTTTCCTGAACCACTGAAGAGCCACGTAGTGAAGTTACATTTTTGCTGACCGTCTATCACATTTTCACAAGGCAAAGTGACTTCATCTCCAACTCTGACAGTGAAGTAGAGGGGAAGTTTTCCAGCTGCTGCTGTTGAGAAAATGATGAAAAATAAAGATGAAATGAGAAAATGTCTGTTATGTTCATAGTTAGTGACGATTATGTCTTTATCCTTAGTTTCCAAGAGTTCACTAAACTCACCACATTAGAAACAACAGATTTGGTTTTCTTAGTTAAATCAAATGTAGCTAATAAAGAATCTTTAATAATATTGATCAAGTTATTTTTTACAATGTGCCTTCCATTTATATATGTGATATATGTATTCTTACCTGTAAACTGAAGCACCGCTGTAAGAAATAAAGAAATCCATTTGAACTCAACCATCATGATTCTCTGAGTCTCTCCTTCTTCTGTCTCTTGTTCTCGTGCTCAGAACTGTCTGAGTTTCAAAACTAGTGTTTTAGTAGAGAGACGCAGCAGCTACTTCCTGTGGTTAGGATGATGTCACTTCTAGCCTGTTTTAGATTTCTGTTTCTTTGAATTTCTTGTCAATGTCCAGACAGCCAAAAACTTACAAATTTCAATTATACATTTTTGAAATGTAGTTTTCTGTCTCTTCCCACAGTGACTGACAGAGACTCCAAATTCTCAATCAGAAAATGAGATGCCGCCATCAGAGTTCACATGCTGTCCAGTCCCTCTGTGTCAATTGTGACGATGACGTGTTTCACGCTCTGCAAAGAAGGAGAAGAGGAAGTTGAAGGTGTTTCTTTACATGATGTTTATTAGAAAACAAACAGGATCCATGGTGATGTTTTACAGCACACAGAGTCAAAGAGAGAGTCAAACTTCTCTCTCACCAGAATCTGACTTCTGATGTTACAGTTTTTCTCAAATGCTAAAACACAAAAGCCAATCCTCTAAACCAAATGACCAGTTGTCTAAACACATTTACTAAATCTAGCCATCATTTTCCAATATCATAAACACATTTCACATGAAGACACAATTCACAAAACACAATCCTCCGTTCACATAAATCTTAACACATTTTTCCTTGCTAAAACACAAGTTGCAAAAGAACTCTGCTCATATTCTCAAATGAAAGCTCATGTGATGCAAAATGCTTGCCACAGTCAGCAATATTTGAACAAAATGAACACACC